GCTTTGCTAAACTTTTTATACTTTTTCAGATCCATATAGTTCCCTTATCAGTACCTAAGCCTTATTTATAGTTTTTTACCTTGTGACACTCAATCTTTCATATCAGACTTTTGGATTTTTGGATTCTAGACCGTTATACGTAAATTGCATTACCCATATGACCTATAACAATATGTAAAGATATTTGATATAATAACAATAGAATTAAATTGTCAAATAAAGTTTTGCATTTAATACCTGTTATGGTTTAAATATAAAAAAAATAAATAAATAATTTTTAAAATAATCAAAAGAAAAAGAAAATTTCAATAAAAAAACTCTTTCTGCTAATCCTTTGACTATACATAAAAAAGATGTTCACAAGAAGTTTTATACTTCCTTACTAATAAAGTCTTTATATTTTTATTAAACCAACTTGAAGCTTGTCTTCATGTATCTCTCCTACCCTTTCTTACTTGTTTATAAACTCATTTAAATAAAAACTTGGGCCTCTAGTGACCTAAAAAGATCCAAATATATACTTATTCTACTAAGGGCAAGAATATTCTAGGAAGTAAAAAGACTGACAAGTGAAGTGCTACCTTTTAAAGCTGAAATGATAGAAATAGAGGTTTTGTCAGTAGGAAAAGGTTTATTATTCACTTTCTCAAGCTTTTCTAGCCCTCTTAAAGTGTTTACAGTTTTTCACAGTTTTTTTTTAGAGATTTTGCCTACCTCAGTTTGATTCTGAATTTCTGGTAACACAATGTCATCAGGCTTTTGATTGGCTGACACGAAATATGTTAGTAACTGAATGTAAACAAGCTCCTCTGGTTATCCCACGTGTTTCAATAATGTCATTGGTGATTGAAAGAGTTGATTGGTACCCTGTGTCTGCTCCACTCCTCCAATTGAGATAACCTACAGATCAAGTTCCATTAGACCAATAAGATATGAGCAACAAGTCCCCAGATGATAAAAAAGCTATTATTTGTTCAAGCTGAGATCTTTCTCTCCTATTATTCCAGTCAGGCAAAGTTCAAGATCAAGGTTTCCTTTTTATCCCGGTCAGGCAATAAGACCAAACAGTATCTAGTCCATGCTAAGCTCCAATCCTTTAATTACAGTTGAGAATATATTTTTCCAGAAATTGTTAAAGGATATCGCAATCAATAAGGATCTCTACTGCTCTTCTGGTATTCTCCTACTATTGTGAAACAAAAAGATCTTTGGGGAATGATTATTTTGGGCAATGGAAGATATACACCAGTAAAATTCCTTTAACTAGGCATGGTTACTGGAAAATATTATACTAAAACAACATGACCCAGTTTCTACTAGATCACATAAGAACTTAAGGTCCATTATAAGTCACTACCTATCACAGATAGATAAAAAATCATTGCCCAAAGAATGTTGAGACCAAGTGTGCTCTGAAAGTAAAGGCTCTCACTAGATGATAAGTTTTCTCAAATGGATATGAGAAGGAAATTAAGATCAAGAATAGATAAGTTCCTTAGACGATCAGGAAAAGAAAGGTCATCCCAATTGGGCATTTCTTATTGAGAAGAGGTCTTAAGAAGCATGTCTTTGGAGGAAGCTGAAGATATTTTTTTTTTCAAATTTTACATTTTCACTTTCTTGCTATCTACTTAGATATTTTTAGATATCCTCTACTCTTTTTCTTCATCCCATCCTTTTGTAATTTTCTATATTCCAGCAGCTTGGTTCAACACATGGCAGTAACAACCTGTTGGCAATTATGCAATAAACTAGAAGGATCTTTATACAAAGACATTATGGAGTGAAATATTGTCCCCAAGGCTGAACTTAGAGGCAATTATACTTACAACGAGTTAGTTAGATTATGATAATAGTTTAGCTATAGTATGTATTATACTGCTTGAATAAAAATGTACTTATATTTTCAATTAATTAATAAATTGACAATCTAGCCTGGCTACAGGTATACAAAAAAAAATTTTTTTTCAATAAAATATTTTTTATTGAGAAAAAATCTTAAGAAATAAATCTTTAAAGTAAGTTAAAGAATTTTATTTTTTTATAGACATATATATATATATATTATATTTTTTTGACCTATGGGTCTATAGTGCAGTAGTTAACATTCCATAGGTCAGATTACAAGATGTAGGTTTAAATTCTTCAAGAGGCTAATATGATTTCCCTGTCCACAAGCAGGTAGAATCTGACACATTATTCATTGACTTAATTGTATATAACTGATGTTTCTGAATATAGTTAGTGCAAGTCAAGATGATTGACAGTTTTCACTGATTCTTATCAAAATTAAAGATTTCAATAACACAGGATGATCTATACAAAGATTGTAATCAGATAACTATCTGAAATCGAGTAGAATTATTCCTGATAGGATCCCATTTAACAAAAAGAGTAGATCCTTAAACCAGTTGCATGCCACTGAGGAAGGACTGACTAAAGATCTTATTTGATTTTAAGACTTCAAGCATATGGCTATGCTTTGATTTATGGACTTAACAATCGGAAGGCTTTAATGGAAGAAGAAATCTGCCGATCACTCCAAAAGATCAAAATCTGGATCCAGGATAAAGAAAATTCAATAACCTGATAATCAAACTACTCTTAATAAAAATGGTTTGAGAATAATTAAGAAGGAATCGTATAGTTTTTTGATAAGATAGTGCTTATATATAGTTAGTAAATATATAAAAGCTACTTATATATATAGATTACTAATATAAGCAAATGTATAAGTACTTTTTAATATATACATTGTCTATCTGTATATAAAGAGTAATGTAAAAGTGGTTGAAGCCAAGACAACTACCTTATATAAATGTATAGATATATTACTAATAAAGATTATAACAATGCTTTCATGGATTAGTGACTAACAAACATTATAGATAACTCTTTTATCTTTGAAATTTATTTTAACACTAGCTCAACCTTGGTAGATTAGCCTCCTCACAAGGAGTGACAACAAACCACAAGATGAGTACTTCTATAAAGTGAATCTTCTATTGAGTTTTATTTAATAAAAAACAGGTAGTAAGTTCTAGAGTAACCTTCTTATGTAATTTTGCTGCAAATATAAAAATAAAATAAGGTTGAGCCAGCATTTAAAAAAAAAAATTTTTTATATTTTTTCTTTTTTAAAAAATTTATTCTTTTTATAATTTCTTATATTTTAGTAATTTAATAAAATCTATAACAATAATTGATAGTTTGTAATAAAGTAATAAATTAGAAAAATATTAATTCAAAATCTATTATGAAATAAAATATTATTTCAAAATTAAATTTAAAAACTATTATTTTTATAATAATTTATTAGATTTAATAAAGACATTTAGTTGCAATATATATCATATTGTTTAAATAAAAATCTTTTTATGGTTTAATTAATTAATAAATTATATTCTAGTTTAACTATTGATATTAAAAAAAATAATACTTTTTTTATTAATTTTTTTAATTTTATATAAAAAAAATAATTGTTTAAAAATTTTTAACTTTTTGATCAATAAATTTATAATATATTTTTAAAACAATATAAAAAATATTTTTAAAGATAACTTTTATTTTAATTTTTTTTTTAATTATAAATCTTTTAAATTAAAAACTTAACTTTTAATAGTTAAAAGAATCAAGAAAATATTAATCAAAAAAGTAAATAGAAAAAAATATCAATAACTTTTTTAATTACTAATAATTTTATTATCATATTTAATTATAATCAATTAAAACTTTTTTATATTTTACATTGTATTTATTAATTATTTTTAATAAAAATTATATATTCTAGTTTAAAATCAAATTAATATAGATTAAATTTTTTAGAAAATTATAAAAATAAATAATTATAAGAAAATGGAAACTATAAATAGAAAATTATAAAATTTGAACTTTGTTTGTTTATTTTTTTATTATATAAAATTTTTATATAATATATTAAACTATATTATTGAGTTATTTTTTGTTTTTGATCCTTTATTACTATTAATAGAAATAATATTTTTTAAAAATTTTTTTGATTATAGAAATCAAGTTTTTATATAAAAAAATATAAATAAGAAAAAAATAAATAAAAATAACTTTTAAAATTATTATTTAAATTGGTTTAAGAAAAGTAATAAGACTTTATTAACAAAAAGTATAAAATTTTGATTGATTTTAATAATAAATTTACAATAATTAAATAATAATATATAAATTTTTTTATTTTAATTTTTTTTTTAATGATAAAATAATTAATAGTATCTATATAAAAGTTTTATTATGTTGAAAAGGAATCTTGGATTTTTCAATTTTGATGAAATAAATTTTATCAATTTTAATGAATAAATTTTATCAATTTCTATCATATTTCTTATTGAAACTTTGTAATCAAATCTTTTTAATATTTTTATAAATCCTTTTATATCATAAATATTGTTATTGATTTTTTTTTTATATAATGGTCCAATATCTTTATATTAATATTGACAGTATAAATTTTTTTTTTACCTCAAATAGTCGTAAACTTTAGAAAGTAATTATATTTTAATCAACCAAACCATTTTAGAATAATAAAATACCAACGGAAATCTGGTTATAGATTTTCAGGGGTCATACAGTAATTAGGTGCATACATATTAATACTTGCATTACGTAAATTCATCAGTTCTACATTTATACCAGTTTTTTTTTTTTTTTTATTCAAAAAAACCAATATCGGAAACTATGCATCACATGGACAATGCAACGACTAGTACATCTAGCACACCACATTTTTCCGATACGGCTGTTTCTGAATCTTCATATTTCAGTTCTATAACTAACGAAAGTCTCACACAACATTCTCGGCTTTTTGGCGAAAGTTCATATCTATCTTCAAATGATGAAAGCAATGGAGCTGGAGATACTCTAGACAATGAGGCCACTGATTCTTCCGGTTTCCGCAGTTCCCTCGAAGATTCTGCCTACTGGTTGCCTGGAATCCGAGGAATAGATCAAAATCGAAACCAGACGAATGGCTTAGGCGAAACTCGAAATATGAGGAATGAAAGAAACGATGAATTAAATGAAGCGCACAATGAAAGTTTTGTGGCTAGTGTAGCTAGACGTTTGAGAGATTTTATTATTTCGCTGGGCGAACGTACAATCGGTAATCTTAGGCCTTACAGTCAGTTATATAGTGATGCATTTTATTATCTCATTCAAAGTTTCATTGCTTTTCCTGTTAGAGTTGTTGGTTTCATAAGAGGTCTGTATACCGGAGAGATTAATCAACCTTTCTAAGTAACAACCGCAATCGCTACTCCCCAGTTTTTGTTTTAATCACCAAACTACCGTTATCTTTTTTTTAATAGGGAACGGTCTGTATATATTCAAGTTTTTTGAAATATTTTTAATAACCATATTTTTGATTTGGATGAGCTTCGACATTGAACTTCTACCGGACGGTGTCACTCACTTCGTCTGCACAAATTCTCCAGTTATAATCACTCAAACACTTTTATCCAATTGCGAAAACTTCTTCGTTCCTCATTTCTCTAACCTCGTTGACACTCAAGTTGAGACTTATCAAGGATTGTTGAAACTTTCCGAATCGCATTTGAATACCTTGACTTCTCGTAAAATTGAAGCTCCACATAAGTTAAGTCTGGATTCCCTTGCTCATGACATTCAGGAATCTGTACTGGCCACTAGAGATCTTATTAGTTTGGTTAAAAATAAGATCTATGAACATCGTTCTTCAAGAGTTGGATCTTCCATTATTGAATGTTTTGATATCGAATCGTTTGAATTAGAATCCGAGATTCTACATTCGAAGCTTGCGCCATATAGGCCCACATCTTTTTATCCTGTAGCATCAGAGCTAAGGCTTACCAAATTTCACAGTCCCGAAATTCTCAATGTCGAAAACCAAATAATCAAAGAGTTGATAGAATATTCTGACAACAGTTTTAAGGTTGTAAAAGGGTTAAAAGGCTTGCAATTATTGATTTTTAATTCCTTGGATAGAACGGTTAATTCCGTAGCTTTTGCGCTCGAAAATATATTAAGTGTTAAAGAGAAAAATTTGAGCTTGCAACAATATCAGCGACTAAGGGAGATGATTGTTGGTGCAAGAAGATTAGGAAGTGGGAAGAGATCTTCGCGGCTTGAGCTCGAACGGCACGTTCATTCTCGTGATTTTGATGATCTAAGTGTGATGGAGTTAGATAAGTTTGATGAAACGAAGTTGAGTTCCAGACAATATAAACAAGTTAGAGATATACACAAGATGTTACTCCGGGTAACAGGTGATGATCTAAAGGAATTGTTCTCGGAAGCCCATACCGCGCTAGAAGGGTAAGTTGCATAAAATATATCTGAACCTCTTCTCAAGATACATAATTAATTAACTATTTTGTTTTAGTCTACGATACATTCGAAAATCTCAATCAATCATCTCAAGCTTATTCTCAACACATCGAAAACTTTGCGACTACGATTATCATGAATCAAATGACAACCTTCAAAATTTGGATTTCTTTTTAACCATCTGGTCATTCTTCGGTAATAAGGGTAAAGAAAATGATAGCAACGAAGGTACAAAAATATTAGACAGAACCCTGAAATTATTTATGATAATTGAGGAGAAACAGGATGCAGTCGGCATTTATATCTCTAACATTATTGATCATGTGAAAGGTGTTCAAAGGAAATTGAAAAAATTACAAAAGGAATTTGTGAATCCTGATCACGTAGAAAATACGGAATTGAATGCGGTTACAACGATATCAAGGGAGTCCGAGTTGAAAGCACATCTGGTTCATATGAAAAAACGGCTGTTAGAATTGAATCAAGTGCGTATTGATTTGCGGTAATTAAGTAATGCAAGTGCATAGGTGTGATGAAATAAACATTAACATATGACAAGTGAAATTAAAATTATCTACAATAATTCATTGATGTGACAATAAATAATAATCAAAAGAGCTAGCCTGATCTCTTTCCAATCAAAAGACCGATTGATAAAAATCCAGTGAACACAGTATATTCTCATACCTGTAAATAATTCCGATCCACTAAAAGTTCGGTCCATCATTTTGAGGTGGTCCGATGGTTTCTCGCTGTTTTCCAATTTCCTCATCACTTTTTGTGGGCTTGTAAACATCCAAATATACTTTTCGTTTCAATTCTCGTGGCAAATATTCTTGGTACACAGGACCTTCGTACTCGGGATTATATTTGTAATTATGACCGTAGCCAAGATCCTTTATAATGTTACGCAAAGAAGAATTCATGAAGTCAATTTTCCTTTTACTCAAAGATGAATTCATGAAGTCAATTCTCCTTTTACTCAACATATGAATACACCATACCTTCATCAGATTCGTTGGTGCATTTCTTATATTCATAGGAACCGGATAGGCATATTCCTCTTGAATAGTTTGTTTTACCTTTTGAAGTTACATCAAAATTATCCGCAAATAGTTGACGAATATATTGAAAAACAAGGCAAAAACAATCATACCAATTTATATGCCATATGAGATCTCACACTCTTTGGCGCTCCTGCCAAATAAGTGACACAATGTGCCAAATTGGTTTCACATTCAGGCATCCCAATAAACTGACACGCTTGATATGTAGCTATAGCCTAATTGCATATATTAGGGAAATTAGCGTGCGGACTTAAGAATTTACAAGCATGCATCGATGAACATTCATTCACCAACGGGAGAGCCTGGTTGTCCGCAAGTCCAACGTCTTCAGAAGCAACCACGATCAATCGCCTTGCTATATAATTGAACAAGTCAATGATACCTTTTCCCAACGAATTGGAATTCAAAGAATTTCTCATGAGGCATACCTATGTATAAAGGATCCTCTCCTGCAGTAAGCATTCTACCAAGCCAGTATAAGCTTGCTACAAATGTGTGATGGTTAGATTCATTATAAAACTCCAGTCGAAGATATTAAATATTTGCACTACCATTGCCATCACTAAATTGATTGGATTAAAGTAAATTTGCAAAAATGTATGAATCAATAATTTAAAAGTCATTCATCTGAAATTCCATACCTTCCTCTAATACTTTTGTGAAGAGCACTAATTATATTATAATGTTCTTCACCATCTTTGTCATATTGAAGATGGGATTTCTGAAGCACCCTTTTGACATCTTCCTTTGTCAGCATTTTTTTAGGTGATGTGTTAATTGCTATTTCTAGTGCATTTAACGCTATTCTTGCTGTGGGGAAAATTTTTTTCGAAAGAGGGATGAGTCAATTAACAATAAAGAAATTCTCATCAATATAGCAAGAAGTTTGATATCCTAAATACCATCTCCATCACTCATGACGGCCAAAAACTTTAGGGCTTCGTCGTTTATCATATCTGTGAGTTTTTGTTCCTTAGCAATTTGCGACGCTGCTTGGAATCCCGATGACTCATCTTTGGCTTGGTCGCCAAGAGTTATATTTTGTAAGATATTGTGCACCTCGTCTGAAGATAATTTATTCAATGTAAAGACTTTACATCGACTCAATAACGCCGAATTTATCTTAAATGAAGGATTTTCTGTCGTTGCGCCTATAAGGGTGATCTCTCCTGATTCCACGTACGGCACTATAGTAAAATAATTATTGCGATAATAATTATGATAATATGAAAGAACTAGGTCGATAATAATCATCAGAAACATTGCATGAGACCCTTACGAAATAAATCTTGCTGTGCTCTATTAAACCGATGACTTTTAATATAAAGAAATAGCGTGAATTAGAACACGATCATCAAAATAAAGCCAATGAAATCTGACAATATGATAATACATTTCATCCAAAAATATAATTGTGCGCTTTCCCGGAAACAATCTTTTTTCGTTTCTGGCTTCATCAAAGGCTTTCCTAGATAGTTAGGTTTTGCCGATGATTTTAATGGGTGACTATTATATATACACGTACATAGATTTCTAATCTTAATCTTCCTTTATCAACTGACTTACTTTATGTCGGTGGTGGCTGTCAAAATAATAAAGTATCATAAGGCAAGTCAAGAGAAAGAGGCAGGCAGCACAGAGGTTACAAGAAGGCTAATTTACCGTGAGTAATTCCCGAAAATTCTTTGAAGACCGATTGCGTCATGTTTGATATTATCTACAACAAAGTAGTGAAAGCATAAAATGAGGGGGGGGGGGGGAATCGGGAGGAAATGAACAAATTATTGACTAAAAATTTACTCTGGCCAAAGTTGTTTTTCCAGTTCCAGAAGGCCCCCATAGTATCATCGATCTGAAAGGTACAAAAAAGGAAATTTCGATAAAACAAATACTGTTTCAAAAATCCAATAGAGTAAATAATAATAATAGATGCTTACGGTATTTTATCGCGTAAGATGAGATTTCGCAACAACCCATTTTCACCAACCAACTCTTTTTGCCCGACGAATGCGTCCAAACTGTTGGGTCGCACTTAGTGTGACGCAAAAAGGTTATTTAAAAACAAATTAGAATTATGCAAAATAGATAGAGAATAGGCATATACCCTTCGCGGCTAGCGGCAGAACATCAGTTTTCGTGTTACTTTTGACTTTCTTATTGGGACGCGCGCTTGGCGTCTCTTCAATAATTTTTTCTTCGTAGTCCGTCGACGGCCTCTTCCAAGAGTCGAAAATATTCTTACACTTGAGATCACGATAATTGATTATAAAGCTGTTATCTCGAATGAAAAAATCCCAAAATTGATCAATATACCGATGTTTTTCGTGCTTTAATGGGCATCGAACATTTATTGTCTACGTGTTTTTTAAAATGGTTAATATCAATAGTGCAGACGCATAAATGACAAGACGATGTATTTACACCTTCCAAGTTCATCCCGAAAGGTAAATAATTCACGCGTTATGCCAAGGACGTCGATGGGAAAGAGGGAACCCTACTTATACGTGTTAATTTATGTAGATCTGATTAATCTGATTGGGCAATCATCCAATCAGTAAAGTTATAAAAGGGTAGACCCTTCATCACCCAATGCTTCAATCCTCTTCGGCATGGGAAATACACAATCGAATGCGCCCATAGAATCTAATGAGAGTGATACCAAAATATTCTCGGAAACACCTAAAGATAATCCGATAATCCCTGTTGCCGGAGGTCGTCCGATTAAAAATCCATTTCATGATTTCGGTTCAAATTCACCGTTTGTCGGTTCACCATTGCTTTCTCACGAAGAATACAGAAAAACAGGAGGATTCGAAGACATGTATGAATACATTCAAAGCGACGATTTGGCCTCAAGTTACGATACCCTGGCAGATGATGGAGGCCCTTCTGAAACTCGACCGTCATCATCAATAATAGCTGAACCGCCATATAGAAATTCTAACAAAATTGTATACGATTCTAGTCTAAGTGGACGCCTGACCCCATTAACAAGCGCCAACAAACAAGGTTTCTCATGAAAAAAAAAAGGCATTTATTTTTGTTAGAATAAAGGTTTTCACGAACCGCCTGCGATCTAATCTTTCTTAAATTCAGAGATGACAGCAAAAGGGATGCCCACAATTATAACTTGGAGTCATGGCGGCAATAATGTTTATGTCACAGGCACTTTTAATGATTGGAAACAAAATATTAGATTGTGCAAAAGGTTTTTGATATATTTAAATCGTCTCATTGTTAGAAATCAACATATTTGCGGGTAGTAAGTTCTTCTGCTTGTAGCTCCAAGGACTTCACCACGGTAATTAATCTGCCCCCAGGGACGCATAAGCTAAAGTTTATCGTAGATGATGAATGGAAATGTTCCAGTGACCTTTCAACGGCCACAGATCCGGATGGTAATTTGATAAACTACTTGGAAGTTCATGAGGACGATTATGAAACCATTAATCGTGAAGGATTGGATTCTAATGGTGAGATAATCGTGATTAATTGAGTCCGCACCGCTTATTAGCCTATTGACTCAAGTTTTGTTTTTTTTACTTTGAAGGTTTCTTGCCAAGTACTCCACCGGGTGATTACACGGACGAGGTTCCCAGTTACATATTGGACTATGCCAAATCCCTTGATGCTGAGGGGGACGCTAGCGCTATGAGTAATTCTGACACGGAAGATCAGAATGAACCTTCTGAACGTGTAACGAAGGATCAACCACCAACCCTACCTCCGCACTTAGAAAGGGTTTTGCTTAATAGCCCTGTGATTTCTAAGGATGATAATAGTGTCCTTCCCGAGCCCAATCACGTAGTCTTAAATCACTTGTACGCCTGTTCGATAAGGGATGGTGTCATGGCTGTTGCCGGCACCACTAGGTACAGAAAAAAGGTTAGTTACATGATTTCTCATATCTGATGGATGGAATTTTCCAGCACAAATAATCAATTACATAATTATTTCCTACAGTATGTGACCACCGTTTATTACAAGCCTATATTTGCATAATTTTACAATTGTAGAGTGTTTCATTCCGATAAGTGTGAAAATGTTTGCGCATTCTACACTTTAAGGGCCATTCTATCTTTAATAATTGGAATGGTCACTATATTTAGTCGGCACAAAGTAACGCCGATAGCTTTCATACAATGATGTATAAAAATTGAAATTGGCAATATACTGTATCAAAGTTTTCTTTTGTTTATAATTGATAAATTTACATAATGTATGTTTACAGTATTTTTCAATACAACGTGAAAGTTAGTGACTAATACTTTTTTTAATATTAGAAATCTTCTTTTCATTGATGAGATAAATCTGTTAAAGAATATTTTGAATTCTACCTAGCTATTGTGTGCCGTACGTGTAATATTTGTTTAAGATTCATAAGAAATATTTTTTCGATTTATTTATTTATTATTTTGGAATTTTATCTGGCATTCCATTTATTACAAATATAGTATAACCTCATTTTAAGTAAATTATTTTTGTACACTATATCATGATAATAATAATAATAATAATAAAATAACCCATGAGAATCTAATCTTTCCAATAAAAAAATCGGATAAGTTTTTTAATAATTTATTTTATGTAATTATTAAATACCGTCATTTGTTTTCGTTTTACATCATATGCTGCAATATTGTTGCAAAACTAATGAAGAATTGAAAATGCAAATTGCTAATATAATGAAGCATTTTAAAATAAATGTGTTTCTTATCCCGAGATTTTTAAATTAAAAAAATTAAAATTTTTACAAGTTTAATATACGTTTTTATTATAACAGATATTATCATACAGCTTGGATTCATGAACACAAATGTGCATATAATATATTACGGAGGTCTCTCTAAATCACATGGTTACTAGGCGCACAAAATTCAACCCAGGAAATTGCCTCAAACGGTGAATCCAAGTTCAGACAATATTTGATCAATCTCCTCACGATATTCCTTCAAAGTTTGAAAGGCAGAATTCTCTATATCAGAGTTTCGGGAAGATGAATATGTGCTTCGTTCACTGTATTCAGGACCTTCGTGCTTCCTCTCTTCACAAGAACTGCCACATTCACACTGACTAACATCTTGACAGCTGCATGTCTCGTGCGTGACAGCATTTGCGTCCGCAACCTCCTGTGGATCGCTAAGGCTTTCCTCGGATGTTAAAGTCAACTGAAAGTGGTCATTAGCGAAAAGCTTATCAAAGGTCAAACATGCAAGCTTGTTTTCTAAATGCTTGATTCTATCGAGTGTGGATTCATCTGGTAGACGAGATATATCTTTGATGTCCTCATCGTCGACATCAATTAAGGGCGAATAGAATTCCTGCAAAGTGCTGATTTGGAAAGACGAAAAGAAATATCAGAAATATGACAAAAAATCGTGAGTGGCGGGTTAAAAATAGACTGACTTCAAAATTCCCCTCAGTCTACCAATCTCCTTGCCGACTACAGCTCCTTCAGCATAACCCCTATCAAATCCCCTTTGAATCGTTATATCTTTGCCCTCTATGATTCCTTCCTTGTATCCGACCTGTGATTCATTAGTAAGGGATTAATTACACAAAGAATTATCGATAAATGAGAAGGGTCGTTAAAAAAAAGTAGCAGGAAGGCTGAAAATAGTGTAACAAACTTGCATTTCCAAAATTTTCGCTCATGCGCTCCCATTCCTTCGAAGAAATCAATTGATCATAATTTGAAGTGTCGTCGCCTTCGTCCGACATTGCCCAGATATCGCTAATTTTATCCACCATTATTTTCCTCCCTTGCGAATATTACTAAATTCATGGTCATTATAAACTTGATGAACGATATTGTTCTCTGAGTACCAATGACCTAGAATATTTTCGTTCCAAATGAATATACAGCCTACCTCTGCCGACAATAAGGATATGGTGCATACTCGGTTGCACCAAAAAATTTATTATTACGTACGTACATACATACATATCATAACGTGTTATGCCATTATATTATTATTTATTATTGTTTTATTATTATTTATTTATTTTAATTTTAAAAAGATTATAACCATACAAGCGATCGAGGTTACATAATTTAATGAATTCCAAAAACAGCAAAGCATTATTTAATATAATAACCACTGGTGTAATGCTCATGGGCGTATTCGAAATGGCAAGACACGAAAAGTATGTATTCATTATTTAGTTTACTTATTAAATTCTTTGGAAGTGGATATGTATAACGTTTTTATCTTATCACTTCGAATATATAATATAAATAATTATTGATTATAAACGGATATCCTGAAAATGTAATTATTTCAAATAAAAATCTCGTTTGAATTACTTTTTTTTCTTTTATTTTTAAAAATTCGAATTTATAACTTTAATTATTTCTTTATTTTAAAACTTTAAAATTAATATTATCATAATATAAAAATAACAAGCAGATTGCTTCGATTGATTTTTCATTATAAAATATATACAATACATAAATAAATAAGATAAATTAATTTAAAAATATATGCAAACTTAATTACAATTTATTAATTGATATATCGATTATACTTTATAGTCTCTTTCCACTAATTCTTTAACCATGCATAAAAAATACATTTGTAATAAATTTTAAGATTTTTAAATTAATAAAATCTTGATGCATTTTTTAAAAATTATTTTTATTTTTATTGATTTATACTGTAAGTGAAATTTAATTTAAATAAATAATGCGATACCGTTGATATCAATAATAAAATAAATTTTTAAAAAAAGAAAAACTAGTAATATGTGATATTATTATTTATTTTATTTTATTAATTATATTATTGTATATATTTAAAGAAAGTTTTTAGTATTTAAAGTCTTATATTATTTTATTACAAAAAAATTAATTTAATATCATTTCTTTAATTACTGTAAAGAAAATTATTTTATAAAAAAACTTTTTCTGCTAATCCTTTGATCACATATAAAAAAGATATTTACAAAAAGTTTATACATTTTATTTGCTAATAAAGTCTTAATACTTTCCTTAAAACAACTTGAGATATAACTTTAAGAGTTCTCTTTACTCTTTCTTTTTTGTTTACAAACCTTTTTACTTAAAAACTTGACTTCCAATAACTAAGAAAAATCAAGTGATACCTTTGATACCAATGGCAAGAAAATTTTCAAAGGAAGAAAAACTAATTGTGAACTATATAAAAGGCTATTTAACCTTTTAAATAAGAAATTTATAGAGATTTTCTATAGTAAAAAGGCTTATTTTTTTCCTTTTTGACTATTTTGATTCTCTTAAAATCTTTACTTTTATAATTTTCTGGAGAATTTTGTCTATCTTAATTTAACCCTGAATTTTGGATAGCTCAAATTCTTATTAAAGGTGATTGACGATATAAAATACATTAGGTTCTGAAATGTAAACAAGTTTTTATTGGTTATATTCATATATTCTGATAATATTATTGGTGATTAAAAAAATATTCTAAAAACATTTATTCTCAAAAACTCAGGTTCCTTAATAAAAACTTATATAATATCAAAAAATCAAGTGATAGATAATATAAATTACAAACTTCTATCTCTTATCTAAGTTTCTCAAGTGATAATAAAGTTTTAATAAAAAAAAGCTAAGGTTTAAATACTTTTTTTGAGATATTTCAATCCGGTATTTACTTATTATAAATAAAAAACTAGTTAAATTAACTTATCTAATACCACAAATAGAGAAAAATAAAATTTTTTCTGAGATTCAAGTGAAACAAAAAAACTATTTCAATCAGATAGATCTTTTTAAGAAGATATTGGTTTAATTTTTGAATTTTTTTTACTAGTAAAAAATTTTCTTAAAAAATTATTAAATATTTACTAAAATTTCAATTTTATTAAAATTTATTTATTTATTTTAAACTGCAACTAGTATTAGATGCAAGTACTTTATTAAGAATATAACTTAATATCTTGGATTTAAATATCCAGGATATTGACATCAATCATCTCATACAAATTATATATTTCTATATATATGCAGATTAATGATAACCTATCACGGCATTTTTAGGTAGACCTACTATTACTCAGAAAGTGAATAGATCCAACTAGAGGTCAACTAGTCAAATACACAGTCATCAATAGCGAGACATGCTAATCTAGTAGTAAGCTTTTATAAATTTTTATTATATTCGTTAAACTAGACTGTATAGTATATACTTGACGGGATTAGTTTTTACTCTTCAATACTTTTAGAGATATTATTTACTCAGATCTCGAAAAGAAGTATATTACCTTTTTTATCATCATCTGTGGCATCAGATTAGCTTTATTTAACTTATTTTTATTTAAGCAGAGCACCATATTGGGATATCCTGAGCTAGAAAAGTGGTTTATATTATATAATCTATTGTGTTAGAGGTGTTGTAAGCTTTTATGGAAGTTAGACCAGAAGCCTTTCCTCATGTAACCTTTCCTGTTTCGACTTGATTTCAGTCTGCGATCATCAGAAAAACCAGAGGTTCCATCTTCATGCAACCTAACTAAATCTGGTCATGATCCAAATAATTGAGTATGACTTTAACAGGATAACTGATAAACATAATCAGAAGCATAATTTTGATTTTTGGTCCTTAAGTGATATTGAACTATAGACTTGTAATTGTAACTTGGGAGTACTACCACTGTACTATTGATCCACAGATCTAATTTTATTAAAATTTATATATTTGTTAAATTTTTAATTATATATTATATTTATAATTTAAAGAAATTATAACTAAATATTAATAAGAATCTTGTTAATTTA